ATTCTGAGGAGTAGTAAGGCCTTGCCTTACTACACTTCCAAGCTCCTCCGTTTGTTAGGAAGGGAACTTCTACACCATTGCTGTTCACCTGGGCGTGTAGCAGGGCAGTCAGAAGATCATGTGATCTTGGCCCAGAAAGTCACAATGGGAGCAGCGATTGTAGAAATAAACAAATCAATAGAATGGATCTCATTATAGTTCATCATTTTGCCAAATCCATATTATCAGGGAACATGGCAATACATATTTTCAAAAATAATCAGTTTTGAAAGAGTCATTCAAATGTTCATTCAATAAATATTTCTTAGGCATGGCTTAAGGTGCTGAGGACACTGAGATGATGAGACATAGTCCAATGGGTAACACATGGTCTAGGAGAAATATTAAGTATAGAAAGTCATGCTACACTAGAGTAAGTCCCTGGTGCTGTGAGAACACATAGGGTTCACTCTCAAGTTTGGAGACAAAGGGTCAGACTTTCTGGACCAGGAGACACATGCAAATGGATCTATAAATGCCTAGAGTTTGAGAAGTTTATTAGGTATATATTCCATTAAAATAATTGGCTAGTCTTGAACTCCTGACCTCAGGTGATCCACCCACCTCGGCCTCCCAAAGTGCTAGGATTACAGGTGTGAGCCACCACGCCCGGCCGAAGACACAGAATTTTATCCGTATTGTTCCCTGCCATATCCCCAGCACTTTGAGCGCTGCCTAGCACATAATCGGCAGTCAGAAAATATTTGTGGAAACAGTGAATTAATCTGGCAAAAGGGAACAAAATTAACTAAATGGAGAAGACCAGTCAGAAAGAACTAATACATAGATGATAGATTAGACTCTCAAAATTAATTTGTTTTAAATTACTGGTCATTTGATAAACAGCCAACACTGTTGAGAATTTTTCTCTTTCGGACTGTCCAATTCTTCAGTATTATTCAATCAGGTCAGGGTCCATGGTCTAGTTGTCTAAGGTGTTATCTGAGCTCATTGTCTCATGACTGAGAATATTAAGGGGCATGGATGCAAAGGGTGAGGTTGGAGCAAAAGTTTAATAAGTGAAAGAAGAAAGCTCTCCACAGTGGAGAGGGGAGCCCAAGTGCAGTGCCACTTTACACTTGAATGTAGAAGCTTTTATAAGAAACTCCTCTCATCTCTGTAGCTGTTTGAGTAACTTCTCTTATCTGAAAAGCTGTCTGCACAACTCCCCCTATCTATCCAGCTGTGAGATGTTCTCTAGGTAAGCACAAAGCATAGCTTTTTTCTTGTTTGTATAATTGTGGGTTTGTCTTAGGCAAGCCCCCCTCTGTTTCCAGTGCAATCTCCCATGGAGCCCCCCATGTTCATGTCTGAAAAGGGGAGGAAACATTTTCCTGGGAATCTGCTACACACAAATAACAAAAGTCTTCTATGCTGGACCTTGTCTGCCTTTCTTGCTTATATGTACAGGTTGAGTGTTCCCCAGGCTGCTCTATTTTTGCCTGTAGCTGTGATTTTTCAGGCAGGCTGCTTCTCCGAAGACTAGCCTTAGCTGTCTACCCAAATGATTTTTCATTTTCTCCTCTCTCATTATGATTGATCCACCATCCAGATTATAGAATTTTTAATTGTTTATTTCTGGACTCCAAAAACATTCCAGTAGTTCAATACTTACTACATAGTAGGCATATTCAAGGGGTAGGGAGAGAAAACAAGATTCCTGAGTTATAGTCTATTGACAAATAAAAGACTTCGCATTTGGATAAAGCACTAACAAAAAATTAGTTTTTCTTCTGTTAAACAAAAAAGGAAACTTTACATTGATCTCTAATTTAGTTTCCACTTACCTTTTATGTATAGCCACAATGGTAGCTTTTAGAACCACTTAGAACTCTGGGCAAATAAGCCAGTATTTATCTGCATGGGATTCACAATGACCCTCAGAGTTCAGGAATGTCAGGTAATCACTAAATGCCTCAGAAAAAAAAAAAATGAAGATGCCATTTTCTTTATACAGTTTAAGAATTTACAATCTAATCCCAATTTTGTAAAGTAGTGTGTAAATATACACTGAAAAAAGATTGGAGAGTGTTATGGCTAATACTAGGTGTCAACTCAATTGGATCGAAGGACACTTGGATAGCTGGTATTGTTTCTGGTGTGTCTGTGAGGGTGTTGCCAGAGGAGGTTAACATTTGAGTCAGTGGACTGGATGAGGAAGACCCGTCCTTAATGTGAATAGGCACCACATCAGCTCAAGTGATCTGCCCATTTTGGCCTACCAAAGTGCTGGGATTCCATGAGCCACCTGGCCCAGCTTAAAGATTACTTTTTAAAGATTATTTTAAATCTATCAATTAACTATGAAGCTATTTCAGTTGCTATTTTAAGTTCTTGAAATTAAACACAGATCAAGTGAATGTTAAATCTACCTTGTTCTCATAATTAACATGGTGCTTAATGTAGGAAACAGAAGTAAAGCAGAAAGTCCGTTATTGTGTTTGGCATCTGTGGAATCTCAAGTTTGCTTCTTCTAAACATGTTCATTTTTTTTTTCTTTTTCGTTTTGTTTTGTTTTGTTTTGAGACTGTGTTGCTTTGTTACCCAGGCTGGGGTGCAGTGGTGCAATCACAGCTCACTGCAGCCTGGACCTCCTGGGTTCGGATGATCCTCCCACCTCAGCCTCCCAAGTAGCTAGGACCACAGGCACACACCACCATGCCCGGCTAATAGTTTGTATTTTTTGGTAGAGACAGGGTTTTGCCATGTTGCCCAGGCTGTTCTCCAACTCCTGGGCTCAGGCAGTCCTCCTGCCTCAGCCTCCCAAAGTGCTGGGATTATGCTGGGCCTGATTCTTTTTTAGACTGGCTACTCTCCTCCATAACACTCTCCTGGGAGTTCGTGTGAAACAGAAGCAGCCCTATGTGAGTTCCCAAAGGATTGAAGCTTGTTCTGCACTTATTGAGCATATTTCTTTGGGGTATTTTTCTGCAAAGAGCAAGGTCCCTTATATCCCTGCTAGTATCCATAACAGAAAAATACCCATTTACAAGCCATAATATGTAAGGGAATGAAATCTCTTCTTGGAAAATAATAATAGCAGCTAACATCTGCTACAGACATCCCCCTCATCCCACATATGAAACCATGGTGCCCATTCTCTTGGGCATGGTACTCTTGCCCTCCTCACCCCTCCAGAGAAAATGGGAACCAAGGAGCTTAGGCTTATGGTTTACTTACATTCCTACCTTTCATACTCTCAGTACCTTAGGATATAGAGATCTTCATCCCTATTTTAAAGACAGAAATACTTTTTGGGTCATGTCAAGTGACTTGCCAAAGATTACATATCTACTAACCCAGGTCTTTCTGACTCCAGTGCCCAATTAACCACATAAACCCAGTTCTCGTTGAGAATTGAGCAGGGGTAAAAGGAGGCTCACTCCCTTTCACATGATTCCCAGCTTAAGAAGAAAGTCACACAGAATCAGCAAATAGCTCTTAGCAAAGTATGGTGCATCAAAATTTAATGGGTGCTATTATTATACCTAGACTGCAAAATTAACATATGGTAGTAGTAGCTATCTTTAAATTATTGTGTATTAAACTATTTTTGAGTCATTATGAGGAACCTCTAGGTATATATTTGCTTAAAAAATCTATTTAGCTCACGTGTACTTTTTAATGTGGGAAATGGAGGAAAGGGCGGGCCTTTTTAGAATTAAAAACAAGACTTTTCAAAGAAGGAAAAAGCAACAATATACAGGGGAAACAGACTAGAAAACAGGAACTGAGGGCCCAAGTGACTGGACAATAACTAGAACTCAAAAGGTAGTTAGAGGCTGAGGAAGACCAGAGTTCAGATGTGGGAGGTGTCTTTCAAATTCTCCTAAACTGAATATTTATTTACATTAATAGTTTTGTTAAATTACAGGAATACATAATTTACCGTATCTTGTGCCATAGACTCACTCCCTCAAGTAGCTATGGCTGGAGAAACCTATCAAGTAACCAGAAAGACAGATCCAGATCACATGAAAATACGCCCTCTAGGTATCTCTCATCCTGTAAAGTTTAATAGGAAACACACAGCACTTTTTTCTAGTAATAGCAACAAGTCTGGGGGAGTGCCCCAAATACTTTGCCTTGTTGCTTTTGACAACAGTTGCACAGAGAAGTGACAGCTGGGTGGGACAGAGAATGCCCTTTGTGGCCACAGAGGAGTCTCTTAGCTGAAAGAAAGAATAACACAGTCTTTGAGAATCTTAAACTCATCTGTGCTATTTCCTAATGAACTAAGCCAATTGCTACAGTTACAGTTGGCCCTCTATGTCTGTGGGTTCCACATCCACGAAGTCAACCAACTACGGATCAAAAGTATATTTTAAAATTCTTTTAAATAAAAAATAACACATCAAAATAACACAAATAAAAAGACAGTACAACAACTATTTACATAGTATTTACATTGTATTAGATATCACAAGTAATCTAGAGATGATTTAAAGTATACAGGAGGATGTACATAGGTTATATGCAAATATTATGCCACTCTTGAGGGACTTGAGCATCTATGAATTTTGATATCCATGAGGATCCTGCAACCAACTCCCCTGGATACCAAGGGAGGACTATATTCAGATGTCAATAATAGACTTATGATCATGGTTATCCATAGAAGAAAACCCAAAAACCAACTTTTAATTCTGGCATGTTTTTATAAAACAGCACTCTAGATAAAATTTGAAGTTTTGTAGTTTTAGTAAGCAAGTCCTCAAATGACAGTACATCCATGCAGTTTTTTATTATTATTATTATACTTTAAGTTCTGGGGTACATGTGCAGAACGTGCAGGTTACATATGCATGTGCCATGGTGGTTTGCTGCATCTATCACCCAGTTAACTACATTAGGTATCTCTCCTAATGCTATCCCTCCCCTAGCCTCCCACCCCCTGACAGGCCCCTGTGTATGTGATGTTCCCCTCCCTGTGTCTGTGATGTTCCCCTCCCTGTGTCTGTGTTCTGATTGTTCACCTCCCACTTACGAGTGAGAACATGTGGTGTTTGGTTTTCTGTTCTTGTGTTAGTTTGCTGAGAATGATGGTTTCCAGCTTCATCCATGTAGTTTTTATATAATTATGTCTGAATGAACTTAATTACAACTAGTGGTATAAAGACTACAACTAGTGGTATAAAGACTCCAACTAGACAAAGACTGGCCTTAAATGTAGGAACCTAGGACTTTATCGCAGCTCTCAGATTTACCCAAAACCCTTCCTGCTGGGCCTCGTCTGTGGGCCACTCGAGGTAGGTCTTGGTGTTCATTATCTTCCGTAGCTTGCAGAAGCGCTGGGGGATGGCTTTTTTCTCAATGGGCTCCAGAAGAACAAGAATGGCGGCATCATTGTTCTCATCAAAAAGACGGAAATGGGAGAAGTCCAGTTCATACTTGCACCACTCACTCTTCACAAAGTTTTCAGAAAGTACAAAGACAGTTTTGTGGCTCTTTTCAATGGAGTCAATGATATTGTCAATGATCCACTTGCCAGGAATGAAGTCCCGCTTATGAAGACACAACTTGAAAGGGGGGTTGAAGTTCTCCAGCTCCTGGACCATAAGGTTCTCCACCCAGTAGGCATCCCGCTCACTGTAAGAAACAAACGCATCATAGCAGATGTCCCTGTTGGGAGCTTTCCTGGGCTTCCTTTTGGCCTGCAGCCAGGCCCACATCATTTTCATGTACCACAGGCCGTGGAAACGGTGGCACAGACACACTGTGAGTAGGATCAGCAGGAACAGGCCACAGCACATACCAGACACTAGTGCCACCCTGTGGCATTCTGACACCGAGAGGCGGACATCCTGAACCCGCTGGCCACGCACATGGGATGGAGAGTCACACAGGTAGTTTTCTGGCCAATCGATCAGAACTTTGGCCAATGCTTGCTGCTTCTGAGTGAAGGAGAGGAATTCGCAGGAGCAAATGAAATTATTGCCACCAGCTTCCAAAGTCTTCAGTGTGTGAAAAGAGTCAAGTTGCTCCTTAGAAAACATATTTATTGTATTCTTACTGATTTTCAACACTAGTAACACAGGTAAGAGGGAGGCATCTGGTAGAGTCGCCAACTTATTTCTGGAAATATAAAGTTCTTTCAGTTGCGGCAAATGCAAAGAAAATAAATTGAGGTTGTTGTTGCTAACATCTAAAATTTCCAGTGTCTTGGGAATGCAGCCTGTTACACTGTGTATTCGCGTGCTGGATAAGTTCAAATATTTCATCTTGTCTGGCCACTGACAAGTTTCAGGCATAGAATGAAAACTATTCTTACTGACATCAAGGTTGATCAAGTTTTTCAGAGTAAGCAAAGTCTTTCCGGTCTCTTCCAATGATGCCAGGTGATTTTGCCTTAAAATTAAAGTTTGCAGAGAGGGCCAGGCATCCTCACAGGCTGAATTTTTCAACTGTTCTTCAACCATCAAATTTTCACTGAGATCCAAGTATTCTAATGATTTTAAACGTTGTGAAAGTGAACAAGGAACCAGAAAAACTTTACTGTTTTCTACTGTGATTCTTTTAACTCTTTCTGTGAGTGAATATAAAGTACTCAGATCATAAAATAGGTAAAACTGTGGAATATGCAGCCTCCGGACTGTAAACGTCTCCACTTTACCTGGATCTATAGCTCTGCCATTATCAGGTGCTCTAAAATTACCAACTCCATTAAGGGTACAGTCATCAAACTCTAATTCTAACAGTCCAGAAATCTGATTCAAAAGTTTCAGGACTTGAAACAAACTTTCATCGGTGATTTTCACATTTCTAAATGTAAACTTTTTAATCAATGAATTTGTTTCACCAGTGGATAGTTCTGAAAAATGGAAAGTGTCCAAATCAGTATCTTGCAGTTCCAAATATTCCACGGAACTTGTAATATCTACGAAAATCTCCAACAGTAAAGTATGCTGCTTCATATGAAGGACCAGATGACTTACGTTCTGAATTGACTTCAAACTTTTTGGGTCATAACTCTGTAGATTTGAAGCATCAATCTCAAGTTCCTCAAGGAAGGTAAGTCCAGCAAAATCTTTTCTTTGAATCTTAGTGAAGGTGTCCATATTTCCTACTCTCAGGATTCGCAATTTTGTGAGATGAGAAAAAAGAGATGTTTCCCCAAGGATTTTGTAAGGATTCTCCTGTAAGTTTAAGAATGTCAAAGAAGAAAGGGGCTTGAACCAGGAGGATGATAAATTAGATAAGTAATTATAGGATAAGTCTAAATGTTCAAGACTGCCAAGGGAAGAAAAAGAATCTTCCTCTATTCTGTTAATTCCATTAGATGTTAGCACCAGAGTCTGGAGGTTCACACACTTCTGTAGGTCACTGTTGCTAATGTAGGTGATCCTGTTGTTAGACAGGTCAAGGCTTTTTACAGCTGCTGTGAGCCCTGAGGGAATGGAGTTTAAAGATCCCGAGCTGCCCTTGCAGATACCATTGTGGTCACAAGACAGAGATGCCTGATCGGAGGATTCTTCCTTGGAGAGGCTGATGATGGCCCCCAAGGCCCATACCATCCACAAAGTATGTGGCATTGTCCAGTGATTCAATCTACAGATAAAAGAGGTTCAAATGAGTCATTGTGTTTGACAACATATCATAATTCTAATTTTTGAAAAATATTTTCTAGGCATAACACACACACACACACATACACAGAGAGAGAGAGAGAGAGAGACAGAGAGAATAAGAGATGAGAGAGAGAGTAACAGATGAATGGAACGTATAAATGGGGATAAAAAATGAGTTCCCTGATACATTCAGCAACACTAACACAGATATACAACCACTGTGCAGTACTTAAAATCACAACCATCTGGAAATATAGAGCAAGACTCAATGAGCATGTATTAGAAGAATGAGTAAATCAATGAATGGAGGAATGAGCAATCAAGCCTTTTAAGAAATGGGCTAGGCTTAATCATATGGATTTACAATCACCTTTTTCTGCACTTCAAACCTTCTTAACATTTAAGCATTTCTCTTCTCTGCTTCAGTGACCCCCATGATTCAAAGAGAGCTCACAGAACTAAATCATAGCTCTCACTCACTGAATGAAACTCCAGGAGCAGCATGCTTTGGCACCAAAAGAAAAAAGTTGCATGTGTGTCGACCTGCCTGGCACCTGTCACTAGTAGGCAGGAGGGGTGTTGGAAACTCCAGGCAGACCAAGGTGGTTTGCTGGGTTGAAGGAGTCTCACACCATCAGAACCCTATCTTCCTGCCTAGAAGTAAATGCAGAAAATAGTGTTTAAGTCTGGATGGGCCGTTCAGATGAATGTGGGGGAAATAAAACTATCTGCACCACAACTGCTAGTTTACCTGTAGCCATAAATCCAACAACTTTCTCTTTGCCCACCTTCTGGGCCCTATATCATTCTTTAGCTCTATTCAGCTACCCCATTCCTTGCATTTGTATGCCTTTGTCTGTATTTTCACAGTACTAACTATACAAGAATTTAAAAAGAATATTTATCCCCAAGAACAAAACTTTTTATGGGTAAAACTAATTCCCCACATTTACAGAATCTGAGAGATTATAAAGGCCTGACCCGTACAATTTATGGTCACAGAGAATTAAAACATAAGGATGGTTGGTTTGGGAATCTAAATGCTGTTGGAGCCAGAATTTTTATGTTCACACTGAAACCACTGCTTTGCATTCCCTCCTCTTTTTTAAAAAAATAAGTAGGTCATACTACGCATATTTATTCTGTATTTTCTTTTTTTCCTCAGCTTTATTAAGGTATAATTGGTATACCAAAAAACCTGTATATAATCAATGTACACAATTTGTATACATTACGTATACATATATATGTATACACTCATGGTGTCATCATCACAATCCAGGAAATAAACATATCCATCATCTCCAAAAGCTTCTGCCACTCTCTGGGTTGCCTTTTCACTTTCATAATGGAATCTTTTTGTCTTAGTCTAGTAGTGCTTCTGTAACCAAATTTCAGACACCAGGTAATTTATTATAAAGAACAGAAATTTATTTCTTATAGCTCTGGAGGCTGGAAGTCTAAGATCAAGGCATCTGCACTGGTGTCTGGTGAGGGCTTCTCTCTCCTTCCAAGACGGTGCCCTTGTTGCTGTGTCCTCACGTGAGGGCAAGGGGGCACTACCTTCAATCTCAAGCCCTTTTATAAGGATGCTAATCCCATACATGAGGAAAGAGCTCTCATGAGTTAGGCACTTCCCAAAGGTCACACCCCTTAAAACTTAGTTTTAGGATTAGTACTGTTACAATGGGGATTAAGTTTCAGTATGAATTTTGGAGGAGAAACCACTATTCAAACTACAGTGCTTTTGATGAACAGATGTTTTTATATTTTTATATATTTTTAATAGTTTTGTGACCTATTTTTAAAAGATATCCCATATTTTCTTAAAGATGTTCTCTTTGTTATTTTCTAAAATCTTTATTGCTTTGCCTTTCACTTTTAGATCTACAATCTACCTGTGGTTGATATTTGAGGTAGCAGAAGGATTCACTTTTTTCTAAGATGGATGTTCAATTAAGCTATCCTTTAAAGATCATCTTGGGGAAATAATCAACAATATTTTCTTTGTCAATAGCCACATGTCCATATAGGGGTGGGTATTGTTTCAGTGCTTTATTCTGATCCAATGTTTATTTGTCTATCCCTATATCAGCAACAAACCATATTGAATGTATAATATATCTCAATATCTAGGCAATAGATGTATCTCAAATGTATATATCAATATCTAAGTGATAAACATTTAATAGAGTTTCTTATTCTTCTTCAAATATGTTCTTCCTCCTTATTCTTCTTCAAATGTGTCTTGGTTATTCTTGCCCCTTTGAATATTATAAATGGCAGAATCAGCTTGTCAGTTTCAAACAACAAAGCCCATTGAGTTTTTAATTGGCAATGTATTGAATCTACACAACAATTTGGGAACTATTAACATCATTACAGTACTGAATCTTCCAATCCATGAGCACAACAGGTCTCTCCATTTATTTAGGACTTCTTTAACTTACCACAATAGTATTTTATGGTTTTTGTGTAAAGTTCTTGAGCATATTTTGTGAGCTTTATTCCTATTTGTTACTTTTAAAACATTTAAAATAGTTTTACACATTTATATATGTGACATGGTTTGGATGTTTGTCCTCTCCAAATCTCACACTGAAATATGATCCCCAGTGTTGAAGGTAGGACCTGGTGGGAAGTATTTGGGTCATGAGGGTGTAACCCTCATGAATGGCTTGGTGCACTCTTCATGGTAATAAGTTAGTTCTCACTCTGTTAGTTCACGGGAGATCAGGTTGTTTAAAAAGACTCTGGGACCTCCCCCTTCACTCTTGCTCCCTCCTTCTCATTCCCTCTGTCTCTCTCTCCATATGACATGCCTGACCCCCCTTCTTCCATGAGTAAAAACCTTCTAAGTTCAAGTTGATGCTAGTGCCTGCAGAACCATAAGCCAAACAAACCTCTTTTCTTTATAAATTACCCAGCCTCAGGTATTCCATTATAGCAATGCAAAACAATCTAATACAATATGGCATATATGTATATGTGATGTTCAATGAAATTTTGCATACTGACCATGCACTGAGCAACCTTGTTAAATTAACTTGGTAATTCTAATAGTTTGTGGATTCTTTTTATTTTCTGTATCCCCAATCATCATTAAGACATCATGATGGTTTTCTTCTTTCCAACTTTTACACCTTTATTTCATTTTCCTTATAACAGATTCCTTTATGCAAGCGTAGTAGGATGTATTAGCTATTATACACAGTGACCCCTATCACCACCCCCCCACACTATGAACCAATCAATAGCTCAAGGCAATCCTGTTATCCAAAGAAACTTCAGCAAAAGAATTTAGAGAACTTCACTGGGCAACTTTTATAGCCTTTGCAGTAGAGTCAGCTGTAGTAGCTACTGTTTGAAAGGGATTTCTCATCATAATTTACATTTATTCCAAGCCAGGGAAAGAGCATTTGAATAAAAGATGCCCATTTAGAGGGATTTGCACCTGCTGGAAAGTTCCTTTTTATGCCATAGTGCAAATTAAGAGGTACAGAGCGATGCCAAGCTTCCAATTGGCTATGGAAATTTGACATTGCTCTACACCTTCTAATCTGCACTATGACATAAAAAGAAACAGTGACAGTGGTACTGTTAGAATCCCTAATCCACACTGACCTCTAATTTCCTACCGACTGGGACATGGAGTTGCCTATGCCTATGATTGATAGTCAAATCATTCACAGATAAAAATATATGCTGGAGGTGCACAACAGACAGTTCCCTGTGGGACACTGTGTACTACAGGGGTCTTCAATGGGGAAGCAGTAGTAGTATTTATTCAAGACTCTACTATTAATTATCATCAATGGAGACTACCAACAATTAGAGAATTACAGTTATGAATTTTACAAACTACCTAATTATCTCCCCTTTTGGTTTTCTTATTCAGTTTCTAGAATAATTTAACTGTAAAACCTCTCCTATACCTTTTGTCTACTGTAGCTTTAAACACGAAATCTGAATATGTGACTCAAAAAGCCTAAACCTATAGAAAGACCAGACATGCAATTTGAACCAGCAGTCACACTTGGAATATCAATAAAATTTGTTATAGAGTGAATTAGGTCTTTAAAACATATAAGTATTTCATTCAAGATGACATATCCAGCATTCACTTAAGTTTCCTCCAGAAACTATCAACTGTGAAATCCTAACCACACCATTATCTTGCCATGTATAAATAGAAAGATGGCAAAAGATAAAAAGGAAAAGGAACAATGGTTTTATGACAGAAGAGAAATCCTAATTCATGACCTTGAGAAAGCTATCTACATCTAAGATGTCATCTGCTCTGGGAAGAAACCCCCCTGGTCAGTTTTACCTTCAGATCTCTAATAGGTTTCTCAAGCATCTCGAGGAATGCTCTTGAATTGAGAGATGTGGACCCAAGATCAAGGCCCTGAAGTTTTGCCGTAGTGTGGATGGTGACAAGAATATGATATAGTCCCTTCCCAGAGAGTTCAAGGACAGTCTTTCTCTGATGTCATTTCCAAAAGATCTAATCCTTGGATTCTAGATCAGATTGGTTATTCTCATTTGGTGAATCCTGAAAGGCTTATTTTTTACCTGATGAAAATACACTTTGGCATAATGCATTAAAGCCTTGCAATAATTAATCATGTCAGAGTTTATAAGAGTAGGAGCTATATGAGGTTTTATTACTAGGGGCATAGGTCTTTCGGTAACTATTTCATAAAAAGGGTTAATTTATGTTATCCAATAGTAGTAAATCTGATGGCCATCAAGGCCAGTAGTAATACCTTTGGCCAAGGCAATCAATACATCCAACTAACTTTGCCAATTTCAGTTGTAAATTACCATTTGTCCCTTTGACCTTCCCAGAAAATTGAACATCATGGGGACGATAGTAACGCCATTGCTTGCAATATTTTATTTAACTGTTTTATAACTTGTCCAGTGAAATGTGTACCTCTGTCACTGGAGATTTCTCCAGGAACACCCCATTAAGAA